TCTGCCCGGTCCAAAACCGTTAACTAAAATTTCAACATTTCTAACATTAATCCTTTTATCCTTGATCTTTTCAATCAGCCCAACGGCAGCTCGATGAGCAGCTTCATAGCCTCCTCTCTGAGCTTTTTTAAATCCAACAATACCACCCGAGGTGGTTATCAGTACATCTTTTCTCGAATTTGTCAATGTTACTATGGTATTGTTATAGGATGCATGGATATGAATTCGATATAATTCTTCCGATGGTAAAAGAAAATCCGATAATAATTTTGCCACATCTGCATTTGAACTTTTTTGTGTAGATGTTGGTTTTTGTTTTTCTTTCGAAGTTTTGATCAAGTTTAGTAGGGTGTCTTCTTCTTCTTCTTTCGCCACAGGTTTCAACGGTTCGGTTTCATTAGAGAAATTCAATAGAAATTGATCGTACTCTTCGGTTGCTGTGCTGCTTACTTTGATCGTTTCAGAATTTTTGTCGTTACCCTGATCAGAAGGATGACTTATTGTCGGCTGGGAAGTTTCCTTGGCACTCTGAGGATTTGCGTCCTTGAAAGTTGGACGCTTTTCTTCATCTAGCAAAATTTTTAGCTTAGAAATTCCACTTTTATTCTCCGAAGAAAAAAAACGGTTTCGACGTCTAAATGATAAAGCTTCAAGTCTAATTTGTCTATGAAATATATGGTTATTATTACATAGGGACCGGATAACTCTGAATGAAAACATGAGAAGTCGGAAGCACGTAAATTTCGATAATCGGTGAAACTTTGATCTGGACTAAGCCGCTGATCGTCCGAGATGTGTTAATGTGGAGATGATTTTTCCTCGTGTTGGGAGATCATGCATTCTTGATCACTGATTTTAAAAAAAAAAATCTATTGTTTTATGCTGATAATGGATATGTGTATGTAAGGAGTACTCCCAAATTTACACAAAGATGTTTGGCTTTTATTTCAGGCGTTGTCGTGAAACACATTTGAGTTTATTTCTTATCTATGCGAAAATTACATCTAGTAATTTGTATTTTTCCTCTTACCATTTTTGGAATGTTGCTGACTCAAACTAATCATTATTCACGTCACAAGTTGTCATCATATGAATATCAGTATGATTACGTACATGCATAATCTAAATCATAAAAACCTGAGCCTTGGATTTTTTTGAATTTCTTGATATCGTTCGAGTTCTTTTGAAACTTTCGCTTAGGAAAATTTTGTATATCTCGATCCACCATCATGTCTAAAACCTTGACCGTTGAAGAAGTTGCTACACATAACACCGAACGTTCGATTTGGATCATTGTTCATGATAAAGTTTACGATGTTACAAACTTTTTGAATGAACATCCTGGCGGCAAGAAAGTCTTACTTAAAGTTGCCGGAACCGATGCAACAAAGCAGTTCGACAATTTTCATTCATTGGATGTTGTAAAGAAGTACCCTCAGTTGCTCATCGGTAGTATTGGTTCTGGGCAAACGGAGAGTGAAGCCGACGCTTCCTCAGACGATGGACCATACGGAGATCTTGTGCCTTTTGGTGACCCTTATTGGTATCAAGACTTCCACAGTCCATATTATAACGAAACTCATCGCCGTTTACGTGCCGCCGTTCGTAAGTTTGTAGAAAGCGAGATCATGCCATATACATTCGAGTGGGATGAGGCGAAGCACATTCCCAAGGAACTTTTCGTAAAAGCCGCCAAAGCCGGTATTTTACCTGCAGTCTGTGGTGCACCGTGGCCGACAAAGTAATTTTTCGAAAATTTTTTTCGTGATTGTAAAATCATTCGCATTGTTTTAATATTTGACAAATTAGATATGCAAAATATCCTCCTGCCGGTGGAGTCAAGGCTGAAGAATTCGACCATTTTCACGAATTTATTGTTACCGATGAATTGGCTCGTTGTGGTTCTGGCGGAATTCTGTGGGGATTAACTGGTGGTATGTATTACAAAACCTTTCATTGGTCGACATTCCTTTCCTATCATTTAACGCTCGTGGGTCCACGATCTAGGTTTGGGCATTGGTCTTCCGCCAATCCTTAAATTTGCTAGTGAGGAATTGAGGAGCAGAGTTGCACCGGAGTGTTGTTCCGGGGAAAAGAATATTTGTCTCGCCATCACGGAACCTTATGCTGGATCTGACGTCGCCGGTCTTAGAACGGAGGCTAAGCTCACGGATGATGGTCAACATTATATCGTTAATGGAGAGAAGAAGTGGATCACAAATGGTGTCTTTGCTGATTTCTTCACCGTAGCCGTTCGAACTGGAGGCCCTGGCATGGGTGGAGTATCTCTTCTTTTAATTGAGAGAAGCCGGCCTGGAGTGAAGACTCGTCAGATGCAATGCACCGGTGTCTGGGCTTCCGGTACGGCATATATTACCTTTGAAGATGTGAA